TGAAAAATGTATTAAAAACAGGTCTCAAGTTATATCTTAACTACAAAGAGCTACACCTCTGGCAACTGGGCATGGAGTATAAGGCTGCATTTATCGAGAATACTTTAACAGACACGAGGTGTTCTGTGAAGCAGTTCTGAAGATATCCAATCTACCCTGGGGGCGAAGAGGAACAAGGGTCTGGATCTGTCGTTCAGAGCCCAGACTAACAGACTACTAGTTTCATGTGAAGTCTACAGAGCTCAGAAGAATGATGGCGTGGTGCTTATACACCTCCCGTTTGCACCAGCGGAACTCCTAAAGCGACAGCAAAGCAAATCAGTGAATGCCAAGGAACATAGGAAGTTTTGGTCTTCCCATTCCTTTTGTATGTGTCAAGGATCCAGCTTGCTGCTGAAGGTAGGAAGTTGAACTCGGACCAAGCTCTACTGTCATCACAACTCTTACTTCATAGCATCAGAGTACTTTGCCAACATTGTTCAATTCAGGCTCATAATACTTCTGTCAAATGCTAAACATTCTTATAGTCCATATGGGAAAACTCATGAAGAAACTTCTTACCCAGAGAAAGGCAAGAAACCCACAACAAAACCGGAAACAGAAAGAAAGGATTGAACCAACAGATTGTGTATGACTTACCTTGCAGAGGATGCTTTACACTGGGCATAACCGGCAGGGTTTTGGTAGCCGGAGGCTAGAGGGGTGACTTGTTGTGGTGGGAGGCCAGAAGATGCCATGTGCCAGTCACAGCTACTTGCAGCCGCCCCTGAAACTGCTGTAAATAACCCACCATATGCCAGAACTTCAACCAGTCAGAGAAGCACATGGTGCCTCCGCTCACGCATGTTTAAGACAGCAGTAGCCACTAAGAGGAGAGGACACATGGCTGGTGGCCCTGTAGGAGATGTGGCTGGGGACGTACTCATGGAAAGAAGTGCCCTGTGCCAGAGCCGGCACATCCCTGAAGGGACTGTGGGTCATGGGCAGCCCACACCAGGGCAGCGACACCGCAAAGGGACTGTGTCCCACGGTAAACCCATGCTGGAGTGGAGAAAAACAAGTACATACATCCCAGGTGTCCTGCATTGTTCCTCACCTCATCAAAGGGATTAGGAATGGATGAGTGTAACATGTAGCAAAAGCAAGGTGAGTTGAGACTTGGAAGTGGAGAAAAAAAGTTTTTTACTCAATTAGAGCCTAGGGAAGCACGGTGTTTCTTCACCAAGTACTTTGTTAAATAGTCTTTTTTTCCTCAATACCCAGATCTGTAATCAAAAGTTTTGTTAACTGGCAATAAATGAAGTAAAATTCTCTGCACCAAGACTGTTTTGCTCATGATATGTTTATAAAGTACTCTGGCATATTTCTTAAGTCCTACATACTACAAAATCTATTGTTAGAGAAAAGGGATCACAGGAGGGAAGTAGAGGGGCATTACTTGATATAGCTGGGCTGCTGTTTGAACAGCAAGTTACTGTGCTGAGGCAGCTGCATTAAGATTCTCACTAAAAAGCACGTTTAGATGAAGTGTTTAAAGCACCCTATACAAGCCTATACAGGGTGAGGGTGGGATGGAGGTAACAGGCACCACTCCACTACAGAGTTTTGGACAGCGGAAGAGGCTCAGAAGTGAATTAAGGTGAACTACTGCCAGCGGAAAATAAAGTCAGTCGCACAGGGAGCCATCACAAAGCAGATGTCACATCTTAAAATTCAAACCTTAGTTTATTTCCTGATAGCCTCCCCATGGAGGTGTGCCTTAAAGGTCTTCTGAGAGCTTTTACAGTGCAGACTGCCTTGTCTGCCTGTTAGCTGCATCATCTTGAGTGCACTCACCGGGCCTGTGAAGGACAACCAGGGAATCAGGCCCAGCCAGCACGGGTTCAGGAAAGGCAAGTCCTGCTTGACCAACCTGATCTCCTTCTATGACCAGGTGACCCACCTAGTGGATGAGGGAAAGGCTGTGGATGTTGTCTACCTGGACTTTAGTAAGGCCTTTGACACTGCTCCCCACAGCATCCTCCTGGAGAAACCAGCTGTCCATGGTTTGGACGAGTGTACTCTTCGCTGGATAAAGAACTGGCTGAATGGCCAAGCCCAGAGAGTGGTGGTGAATGGTGTTAAATCCAGCCAGTGGCCAGTCACGAGTGGTGTTCCCCAGGGCTCTGTTTTGGGTCCAGTTCTTTATCAATGATCTGGATGAGGGGATTGAGTGCTCCCTCAGTAAGTCTGCAGGTGACACCAAGTTGGGTGGGAGTGT